AAGCCCCATCCAGCCTGGCCTTGAACACTTCAGGGATCTGCTTTTGGCCTCTGCAGTGTGCTGTGATGAATGCCACAGTGTGTGATGTGCTGTGTGAAACATGTGCAGCTTTTCCTCTTTTTTAACATTCCTGACTGACCTGTGTATGTGGTGTCCTCCATTCCCTGGGCTATGAGCAAGAACAGGTAATCATCCGCCTTGCCTTGTGCCTTTCTCCCCCAGTTGCAGCATTTTAAGGAAACTAAGCCTATTTGAGCTTTCTTTGTAAAACACCACCACATTTACTGCAGCAAATATTAACAATGTTACATGTTTTAGAGCCCAAGCTCCAGCCTGACCAGGCCCTGCGCCTCCGCTCCGCCCGACCAGGCCCTGCGCCTTGGTAGCTGCTGACGTCCCAGTGCAGGTGGGGCTTACAGCAGGGAACACTCCCACAAATGCTCGCTGAAACTCTCCCATAAATGCTTTCCTGGCCCTGTTCATCAGTGAAGACAACTCTGTGTGTGCTCTGCGGCCGACCCTGACATTTCGCCCCCGCCCTGCTCCTCCTGACCCGGCCCTGTGGTTGCTGGTGGTAAGATCTGGGCCCTGGGCCTGCCCGAGGCAAAGCACCCTTAGCCCTGCTGTGAGCTCCCCTGTAAGTGGTACCAGAGCTTTCATGCTGCTGCTGACCTCCCAGGTTAGCTCCAGAAAACATTACCTGGCAAATCCCTTGTGCCAGGCTTCAAAGAAAAGAGTTTTCCATCTCAGCCCAGGTCTGATTTCCTTCCAGATAAAGAACAAAACCCTCTGGGAGCCCAGCGCTTGGAAGTGAGGTGAAGAGCAATGAACTTCCCTCCTTACCACCAGACTGAAATATCAGCAAAGCCTCTTCTGTGAGGAGTGCGTGTCTGTCCACACAGGGTCAGGCCGCTGCTTTAGAATTCATCTGGTGACACTGAAATACAATCTTTGATGATCAGAGTTGTGACAGGGCTGTGTACCCTGTCCCTTATTGCCACCGGCTCAGGTTGACAGCCAGATTTTAGAAACTGGGGCCAAAACTTGAGGGGATCCAGTGGCCAGGATGAAGTTGGTCTTTTGGCAGTGGAGGGGTGCACGTCACGGCCACCAACACGGGTGACATCCGTGTCCTATCTGATTGCCCCACTGATACCCCACTGAGGGTGGTGGTACCCAGCGCTCTGTGCAGGCAGGAACTGATTTAAACCCCTGGGCGCCGGGGTGCATCAGCAGCCAGATTTCCCCAAAGAAAAGGGATCCCCCAGAGCAGCTCTTCCCCTCCGGTCCCCAACAGGCCCTGAAGCCAGCAGCAGCTGCGGGGGAGGCAGCAGCTGCATTCGAGGGAGGCTTTGAATTGAATTGCATTGCATTGCACTGCGCATCCTCCCTCCCCACCTCCTGCTGCTGCCGGCTGCCTGCCTTCATCCCTCCATCCTCCCCCTGCTGCCGCCCTGCATCCCCCCCTGCATCCCTGCCCCCTGCATCCATCCCCCTGCATCCCTCCTGCATCCCTCCCTCCATCCCTCCCTCCTGCATCCCTCCCCCTGCATCCCTCCTCCTCCTGCATCCCTCCCCCTGCCTGCGCAGCGCTGCGGCCATGGCGCTCAGCAATTTCCTCTTCGCTCAGTGCATCTGCTACTTCCTGGCCTTCCTCTTCAGCTTCATCGTGGTGGTGCCGCTCTCCGAGAATGGCAACGACTTCCACGGCCGCTGCCTGCTCTTCACCGAGGGCATGTGGCTCAACGCCAACCTGACGGTGGAGCGGCAGGGCCT